AAAGCAATTTCTTGATAGTTTAGTTTTTCTAAATTTTACATTGTAGACTCAAATTTTTTATCATAAACATCTTTCTAAGAATTTTCATCTCTATTGTTTGATACCAATAGGTTTTTCTATTGTTATTGATACATTTATATCAACTATTTATTTTTGTAGAACTCTCTAAGCATATTTGGAAAATTCTTCATAAAATTTTATTTCAAATTATTTATCTCAATTGCTTTAACAAGCATTTCAGGCAACACTTAAACTACTATTTCCATCATATAAGGAGTTATGACCAATTTATATAAATTGATTTACCTTATCATTTTGTTGTACTTTTCTACACTCCATAGTTTTTGGAGATTTATCCTCAGACTTCTTAAAGCATCATGATTTTTTAAAGATATATACTCGTCATCCTCCAAAAACGATTAAATATGATCTATTTATTTTTAATTCAATAGATTCTCCCCTTTCATCCCTGATATTTCTTTGTTTAGAAATTATTACAATTTTTCCCAAAAAATTTCAAACTTTTTAATATCAATCATTCCTCTTTTTGAAATTTGTGTTTTCCATTCATAAATATCTAAAATCTACATTTTAACACTTTAAATTGTAAATTTTTCTAGATATTATTGCATTTATTTAGAATAAAATTTCAGAAGTTAGACTTCTTTTAATTTTTCCTTATCTTCAGGTTCAAACCAGAGAGAATAATTACTTCTTGTAAAAATTTCACTTCTTGTGGTAAAAATAACAAGTGGATTTGACCAATTTTATTTAAGTTTATTATTAATATATAAGTTTTTCTAAATATTCTCTAACTTCATCTCATCATAACTGTCCATTATCAATAGAAATCGGAAATGTTTCTTTTCTAACATCTCTTTACATTCTTTCAATTAGAGCTCATCAAAACCATACTAATATTGATGAAGTGCTTCCTCTTCTGCTTAAAATACAGGATTTTTTAAAGAAGGTAATGAAATATAAATTGGTATTAGCAGTTTATTGCCAATTTTTTAATTATTATCATGTAATTTCCAAATAAATTCTTCTATTTTCTTAGCTGCAGTACTTTTGCCTGATCCAGCTACCCCATGGATTAATAATACTGTTTATTTATCATCTAATAAAAACTCATTCACTTCTCCATTTTTATCATATAAATTTTCAAAATTCATCAAAATACTTGTCTTTTCCCCTTTCTCTCCTTTTTCATCCCTTTCTATTTATCCTTTCTCATGTCCTTCCTCATCTCCTTTTTCATGTCCATCTTCTTCTTCCTAATGTCCTTCTTTATCTCCTTCTGAATTGAATTTCTTTTCCTGTTTCTTTAATTAATGAAATATTTCCAAAGTTTTTAATGGCACATATATAGACCTAACATTTTTATTTGCTGCTTCTTTCAATACTTTCCATTTTCTTATATCAAAAAGCTCTTCAACTGATTTTCCTTTAAGAAATTTTATGTCATTACTCAAGCTGTTTAATTGTTTCTTCATCTCATTAATTTTTCCCTCAACTCTTGTCAAACCTTTTCTGATATGATTAACGAAGTCTGTTACCAATTTAAGCTATTATCCCATTTCACTGATATTTTGAATATATTCATCTAATTGCTCAGTTGTTTTATCCATTTCTTTCAATTATATCTCTCGTTTGTTCGCATTTGCTTCTTGGGCAATCTATTCTTACAACGAATCGATTCGACTCAGCATTACTTACATTTCTCCTGCAATTCTATAGTTTTGAGTCTACCAATCTTTCTACAAAATTTACATTGACAAACTTATTAAGGTTTCATTTTTTAATAAATTTCTAACTCTTTAATCTTTTTCTGAAACCCATAATTCAATTAGAATTTATTAACAAAATTAGATAATTCTATCTGTGAAGCAATTTGATGAAATCTAAATTATAGTTAAAACTAGACCCTATTTAATTTTCCATTCGTCATTGTTTTTATAATCTTTATACTTTTGATTCAAAGACTAAAATAATCCTTGTTGATTTGATTCTACATCATCTTTATCTTCTTTCTCTTCTTCCTCATCTTTAGAGAGGTATATTTTTTTAATTTATTTGATCAGATATTCTTAATCAAACTAAATTTTTGAGATCACACATTTAGACTAGACTAATTTTTATTCTATTTCTCCCTTAAAATAATTGAGAAATCGCAAACATTTGTTTTTTATTATGTATAACTATCATCTTTTTCATTTTTTAATAATTAAAAATCAATTTCTATTCTATTAAAGTAATCTTTAAATGACTCTTTTTCATTTTTTTATAAATTAGCTGTTGTCCATTGCAATTATTTAAAAATTTGAATTTGATTTTAGAAATGACGATTAAATTTCCTATATGTTTTTGTTTATATATTTTCATTATATTTCTGAATGAGACGAAGTTAATTTGAGAATTCTTTAGTTTCTTCAAGTATTTAGCAAAATAACTGCTTTTCTTTTTTTATTTTTGATGATGATAATTTCAGAATAGTGATGATGGTTTATAAATCTTTTATATGTTCTTGATTGTCCTCAAATTTATTTTCTTCATTAAGATTGTTATCAGTAACAAAAATTTCATCATTTTTATTTTATTTATATTGATGGTCATTCTTCTATATTATTTTTTGAAATTCTATTTTTTTATTTTTTAACTCCTCCAACAATTCCCTAATTGGTATTTTTAATATTTCTAAATTTTAATCTTAAGAATTTTTTAATAGCTCAACAACCATCTCAATATGATTGATTAATTATTTTACATTTTCTATATTATTACAATTGTAATTTTTCTCAACAATTCTTAATTATTTCCACATATGCTAATATTTTTCTATCTCAAAATTCAATTCTGATTTATTAAATTGGTTATTAGTCACAGTTTTTATTGAATTTTCAATTGAAGCATTTTCTATTATTGTCATAATTCTATCTGTTAAAGAGGAAGAACAAGATTCTTCCTTAAAAAATTCTCCAAATTCCTTATCAATTAATTCTAAATCTATTTTTTCTAAATCAATCAGTTATTCTTCTAAACTTAATACCAATATTAAGTATTCAAATATTCCTTTTTATTTTGATAACTTATTTTAATAGTCTTGTTCAGTAATTTACATGCTTGTTAATTCAGCAATAATTTCTTTGTAAAAATTGTCACGACAACAAAATATTTTTTTTTTTGGATAATTGTTAATTACATTAACAAGAAACTCATCCAAATCGATAACTTTTTACAACTATTAAAATTCTTCCAATTAGGCTAGAACTATATTTTAAAAGGACTCCTTCAAAGCATTTAGCTGTAATTGAAGTTTTAAATTATTCAATCATAATTTGTATACAAATTAAAATGATAGCATATTCGAAATTTGTTATTAAATTTCCCCAAATTCGTAAACAGACTCTAATTCATACTGTGAAATTAAAATTGCCTTAAAACTTAAAATAGATTCATAAACATCTTTTTGAATTTTTTCAACCATGTGATCATATTCAAAATATAGATGATTCAAAAAACTCTGGAAACATTCTATAAATTTACACTTTTTAATTGACATAATTTCTAGCCTTAAGATTTAATTTTTAGAATCTTCAATAAGTCTTAAAATTCTTTCAGCTTTTTTCAAAAAGCTCTTTTAATCAAGAGTTGCAATTAGCAAATCAAACAGTTACTCCTATAACTTATTGAAAAATGAAAACTGGTTATCTTTGAGATTTAAATTTTTTAATTGCTCTTAAATCAACTCTTTCTATTACTAAAGTATTATTATTTCATCATTTATACCATCTTGCTTGCAGAATTGATTTCTTTTATTTTTTATTTCTTAAACTGCTTATAATAATATTTCTTCTAATAGTTTCATCAAATATTTAAGTTAAAATAAAATATTAAATTCAAATTTGTCTGCCTATTTTAATTATTCAGTCTGACTGTAATTGTTATTCGAATTAAGCTTAAAAATTTTGAGAATTTTTATGTGTTTTGCAAATATTCATATAAGTTGGAAATGATCTTTTTTACTGAAGAATCGACAGTGCTTTATAATAGTCTTTTATTAACTTAATCATTTTCCCTAAATTATTTCTCAACTTTAATCACCTCCCCTAAATTTTCATTATTTTATTTGATTAAATTAATTAATTTAGTTGGAATAATGAAACTTAAAAGTATTTTCATTTTCTCAATAGTCAAAATTTTTTCATTTTTTTAGGAATCTTTTCTAAACAAATCTAATTTACATTTTAAATAGGAACTAAATGTAAATGGTGTACCTTCATTTAATTCACCAATTAAATATTGTTTAAATATAAGAAAGTCTTCCCATCCTTTGAAACTATCTTCTAACACTTATCTATCAAGTTCTATCAGTTTATTCTTTTAGACTTAACTAAGTAAAATGACAGCTTAGTCATATGTATGGTTCATTTTAATAAGTAATTCTTTTTTCTGATATTCCTTCCACATTAACAAAGAATTATCTCCAAAATCTTTAGAGTTTGCTAACTGATTTAATCTTTTTTTTGTTAAAAGAGGATTAAATATTAAGATTTTCCCAATCATTTAAATCCACAAAAAATGATTTTTCCAATTTTTTGAATTTTTCACAAGATTTTCATATATCCCCTAAATTTTTAAAAGTATTTCTTTTAGAATTAATTATTTTTCATTTCTAAAAAAACTGATAATTTCCCATTATAACATTTCTATTTAAAAATACACTTCATATTATTTTATATTTTTTTCATTGTATATATGTTGTGAATTTGGCAGGCTGCCCTAAATAAGGATTCAAGTAATTCAGCATTAGGTTTCAATAGAATTAACGATCCAAATATACCACTTGCAAATCCTTTTACAATATCTTCCCTTTAGTGATTATTATTTGGAACTATCTCGAAAGAAGTTTTTGTTAAGAAAAGATAAACTTCAATTTAAATTTAAATCAAATCATTCTTTTCTTTTTCTATTTATTATTTTAGTCATCAGAAATGTCTAAAAATTCCTTTTATATATCAAAATTCATAGTTCTATCGCTATTCATTACATGGAAACTAAATATAACTTTGGATAGAGATGCTGTTTTCTATAAGATATACAAACATTTAAACTAGTCTGTTCTAATATAGATCTAACAACTTTTCAATAATTATCGGATTCCCTCTACAATCAGGTTGTATGATTTCATGATATTTTAGGGATTCTTATTGAGTTAGTATATGTTTTCCTCTTAAAATATAAACCATTATATAGCTATCATTATTTCTTAAGATTTTATTGAATTGATAGCAACATCAGGTTTAGCACAAATTATTTCAACAAAAGAACTAAATTTGTTAATGAAATTGTCTATATCTTAAATATCTGACTGTAGGTTTCCATATGTTCTTGGATTCATTCTAAAAGATCCACAACCCCCTCCCCTTAATGAAGATATTTTCGTATTGACTAAGGCTAACATTTTTTTAAATAAAATTTAAATAATAAATCCATAACGGTATAAAAATGTATATAAACTTATATTAATTAATAATTAATTATTATAAGGAATGATAAAAATTTCGTATTATAAAATGCAATTAATAAATCAACATGTTCCATAAATTTCCTTAATTTATTTTTCTAACCTCAAATAATGCTAAAGTCAATAGCATATACTCGGCTAAGAAAATCATACTCTATTTTGAATTGTTGTTTTGAGTTATTGTTTTAGAATATTATGCTAGCTTAGCCCATTCTCAAAAGTTGAGTTAATATTGATTTGAATTAACACATTAATATCATTGATAGTGTTGATGCTTTTTGATTTTATCATTCTAGGTTTAAAGGTTTAGGCTTGTCAATTTTCAGGCTTAACAACTGGGTTTATATAATCCTCCTAACCCAGTAAAAGGTACTAAAACAATTGAATTTGAAATCCATCTTTAAATCTTGTCTATATTTCATATATCTACCTTCGAAATTTCGAAAAATTTAAGATAGTATGATGAATCCACAAAAATTCCAGAAGTTGAAGGAGTGTTAACAATCTCTGAACAATGAAGCGTTATTCAATTCTAAAGAACATCCACCTTAAGAATATTGTGATTTTCATTCATTTGGGTACTCCATTATGAGATAATAAGCAAAAATTTTAATTTTAGGCAGCATTAAGAAACTGAAAGAAATCTGATGTTTAGTCAATTCACAGATCCACATAAAAATTACTATAGTCTGCTTAAAATCTGAATTATCAAATTTGATATGTAAACTGTTAAAAGATTTTATCAAATATCATCTTTTCTCTGAGTTTTTTTTTTTTAAATAACAATATCGCCATATTAGCCGTCTTTTATTTAGGAAAAACTTATAAAAATCAAAGATATTTATAATAATATATTAGTTATTAATTACACACATCTATGTAATAATAATATTATTTATAATATCATAACAAGTTGCAAACACAATAAAAAAATAGAAGAATAATTGTTGGATAAAATAGTTATGTTTTATAAATTTCATATAAAAAGTTAATGAGTTGCACTAAAACTCAAATTTAATATCATAAAATAGTATTCTTGATATTCATAATTACTTATACCCTAATAAATAAAAACTCAATCAAAAAGGGCAGAAAGTGACTTGCTATTATTTATGCCATAAGATAAATAATAATATAAAAGACAAATTCATATAAATTGAGATAAAAAAGTCTATCATTCTGTTAAGATTTTGCTCTTAGACTTGTGATTATGAAAAAATGAATGAGAAAGTAACACTGTAGAAAAAGTTCTATTAGATTCATTTTCAAAAGTGCATTTCCAAAGTACATCATCATAACTTTTCATTAAAAACCAAAAATACAGTTTAATACCTAAGACATTTAATATAAAGGATATAATATAAAGATATTCTAAAGAGCCTTATTTTATTGTTTATATAAAGATAAGATTTAGTTAGTATTTTCAAAATATTAATCTTTCTTTTTTTTGGATCCAATAAGTTTAGATAATAAAACTATGAAAATATAGTAATAATTTAAAGCTTTTATATGAAGTGATAGTTTTTTAATATTATTCTTAGATACATACATGAATTGCATCTAAAATTATAACCAAAAATGTATGTGCATAATTCTGCACTTTACAAATTTATAATCAGAAATAAAATTCTTTAAAAACTATGTGGAGAATAAAGGGTAAGATCTTGAAGAATTTTTGTATTTTTTAAATAAATAAAAGTACTTTTTTTTCACATAACATTTATAGTAAAAGATCAACCTAAAAATTAGAATTTAGAAGAAATATAGAAATTAAAAAAAATTAAATTATCTTACAGAGATCTTTAGTTAAAAGAATATTGTAGCAGAAATTTACCCTTATTTAAGAGTTATTTTATTGTAGCTTTAAATTTTTATTGAATCTTCCAGTTTTTCTTTATAATTGTTTTTGCCCTAGCTATTTAATTAACATCTTTTTTTCCAAAAAAATTAAAATCCTATCCCAAATAAAAATAATTGTAATTTAGTAAATATTGTTTAATCAGAATATAATTTCTTTATAATTATGTTTGTGTGCATAAAAATTTTAAATAAGTTGAGTTGAAGTCAAGAGATGACCAAAATTTTTATCTCCATTTTACTAATATTACTAACGTTAAGTATCTCTCAATAACCTGACTTAATCATGAAAAATTTATATTTAATCGATAATTCTAAAAAATTTAGTAAAACAAACAAGCTTTATTTATTTGTTTGTGATATCAAAACCAAATATTTGAGTTTGATTATTTGGCAATAATTCATCAGAATTTTACTTTTGTCTTAAATTTGTGTTTCCTTAACTAAATATACTCTACTAAATAGAAAAAATAAGTTTAGACCAAATATATCAATAACTTGATTGTTAACTAAATAAAAACTCATTCTGAAATAAATAATAGTTTACAACGAAAAACTTTTTCAATTTTATCGCTTGCTTCTTTATTAAACTTTAATTTATTCAATAATGTTTTTTAGTAAAAATCTTATGAGAACTAATCTGCTGAGGGTTTTCTTTTTTTCTTAATGTCTACTATATATTTTGAATATATTTTTATAGCAAAATAATACTTATGACAAATTTTAGCTCTATTTTCTTTTCAAATAATATATCCGCGATTGTAAGATGAATGTCTTATTTAAAAACTAATTAATTTTAATTACTATATCAAGAGACTGTTAGAAGCTTGTAATAAGAAGACAAAATTGTTAAATTGGAAAATAAGTAAGAAATTGAAAAGATGACAACAAAAATGAACGAACATGAAAAGTTTTGTTAGGAATAAGAAAGTATTTTGTAAATTAGATAGAAATTGTTAACTTTTTAAAATTATGCTATGAGGAAGCATAGCTTTAGTGGTTATTCATTGTAATAAATTTTAGACTAGAAATTAATAGGGGTCTTAAGAATATAAGAAATAATTTAAGTAACTGAAGTAATTTTCAGATGACCTCAAAACATTACAGCCAGTAAATAAGTATAATATTCTTAATTTTAGATGAATATAAACTAAAGACAAATGAGAAACATTATAATAAACTTTAATTAACTGTTATTTTGTGACCCTAAATAAATGATACTTTGAAGAAGTTCTATTGAAGACAGGAAATTAAGAAAATTGTATGATTAGCCTTCATGTTAACTGATATTTCTTAATCAACATGATAGAGAAAATGAGACTCATACACTTCATCTGAGATGGTTTAATAGAAGAATAAAACATATATAAATAAAAGAAATTTCAGTCTATATATTAGAAACCTGCCT